TGCAAATAAGGTTCATGGCAGCTTTGTAGGGGTTGTTGTTAAATGCCATCAAGTTAATTTCGACTCATAGCAAATGCTGTATAGCATTTCCAAGGAGTGGCTGGTGGTGGTGGTGGTGATATGCCGAGGAGTCGATTCCGATTCATAGCGACCATGTACAGGGTTTCCAAAGCTGTAAATCTTTACGAGAGTAGAAGGCCTCATCGTTCTCCTGCGGAGCAGCTGGTAGTTTTGAACTGCTGACCTTGTGGTTAACAGCCTGACTTGTAACCACTACGCTAAGCTTGTGACTTTAAGCTGTCTACCTCAGGATTCAAACCAACCTTGCAGTCCAGTACTTATCCTACAGAGCCACAATAAGATGTTTGAAACTTTGTAATTAGGGGATTGGTCAGTTTTACCATCCTGATAACCTTAAAATGCACTATCCCAGAGGCAGCAAGGGGGTCCTCATGATGAACAAGAAAGAAGAGAAGAAGTGGAAGGATGCTGAGAATCTGCTAGTCTGAGGAGACAGAGAGAGAGAAAGCTCTAACACCGGAAACCAGGAGACAGCAAGAAGCAGTAGTAGAGAAATAGCAGTAGCAGAGGGAGCAGAATCAGGAGCCCACCAGGAGATGGTGTGGTGGGTTTCCCAGCTCACAGAACGCCTTCACGCAGGGAGCTTGCTTCTTTGGTGAGTTAAAGAGCTTTGGGGACTGTACCTGAAAGCTAGTGGGTAGAGGCCAGGAATGCTGCTAAACACCCCACAATGCACAGGGCAGCCCTCATAACATTGACCTATCTGGTTTAACAGTGCTGACAGAGCAGAGGTTGACAAACCCTAGCCTACTTCATTCCATTTATTGTGGAACAGCATTCCTTGATAGCATTGTTGTTGTTGTTGTTGCTAAGTGCCGTCAAATCGATTCTGAGCCATAGCGACCCTGCATAGGGTTTCCTAGGCTGTAAACCTTTACGGGAGCAGAAAGCCTCCTCTTTCTCCCGCAGAACCGCTGGTAGTTTCGAACTGCTGACCTTGAGATTAGTAGCCCGATTCATAACCACTATGCTACCAGAGCTCCTTTGATGGCATTCCCTTGTTGATGGACATTTAGGTTGTTTCAGCTCTCTGTTATGACACATAGTGCTCCAGTGAATATCCTTACCAATGCCTCATTGTATGTGCCAGAGAGTTTTGTACAGGTGAGTGGCATGCTCTCAGTTCTTTGGTACACAAAGAACCCTCCTGAGGGTGGGCCTTGGGGACATGCTCACAATGCTGCAGAAGGTTTCAATGCCCTGGATACAATTTAACTGGTACATTTTTGCTAATCTGAAGATTTTAAAGAGTATCTCATTTTCTGATATTAATAAGGCTGGGCAGCCTAAATAATGCAAATCCCAATGATTCTCTACTTCCTATCTTTGATTTGTAGTCTAAAACAAATGCTCAAACCTGAGTACTTCTGCTAGGAGAGGTCACTGTGACTCAGTGCTCCTCCACTTCTCCTACCCCTCACCCTCACTTTCCCAAATCCATCCTCACCCCCTCCCAGAGTCCCCAAACTCTACCCCTTCCCCAGCGATCCCCACTCCTCCCCCATCCCCCACTCTTCCTCAACTCAACTTCTACCTCTGTACTCTACTACTCTATACCCCAACCCTCCTCCCTACCACACCCCAGGCCCCCAATTCCATACTCATCTCCATTCATAACCCGCTAATCCCCACCCGCTATCCCCACCCCCATCTTCCAATTTTACCTCAGATCTCCCCACTCCCTCCACCCCCATTCCCTGTACCCTCATCCTTAGCCTCCATCCCTTACCCTCCGGTTCCCAAATTCCACCTTCACCCCTTCAGTCTACTCATTACCCATTCCCTACCCCCTTGTCCCCTACTCACTCCTACCTTTATTCCTATCCTCCATCCCCTACCCTGCCACTATCCTCTACTCCCCACTCAGATCCCCATCCCCTATCCCACTACCCCATCCACCACCCTTATCCGCCATTCCCACAACTGCACCCCCATTCCCTTATCTCATACCTCCCCCATACCTCCAGCCTCTCTTACCTCCTAACCTTCCCTGCCCCATTTCCCCAATTCATGCCCACTACTATCTCATATTAGGCTAAGCCTGGAGACATTTTGGCTTGTCACAACTGTGGATGTGCTACTGTTACCTGCTGTCTGGAGGCCAGGGATGCTGCTGAAAACCCTACCATGTGCAGAACAGCCCCTCCTCCATCCCCATCTCCCTCCCACAAAAAGTGATCCTGTTCAACATACAAATATGCCCAGATTGAGAAAGGATAATACAAGACATCTCTCAAAATAACTGTTAAAATAGGGTTTTTAATAAGAGCAGATTCAAACTGGGGAAATTGGGCAGTAAAGGAAGTGGGTGCTCCTGGAGAAGGTGGGTGTTTGGATACCACCTAGATGTGTTGAGTGTGGAGTCTGCTGGGCAGGTGGAACAATGAGTTGGCAGACCTGTGGCTGGAGCAGTAGAAGGTGGCCTGGTGGTGTCAGTGGCCCACCTCAGGATAGAGGAGGGGTGAGAAGAGGAAAGAGCTATGGGTTTGGGTCTCAGGGGGTGAAGTGGCAAGGACCTGACTCTTAGGAGCCAAGGGGGCCAGCAGGCTGGTGTGCTCAGAGACCAGGGGCCTTCACTGTATCAGGTTGGGCGGCAGACAGGGACGATGGTTCGGCAGCGGAGGACGGCTAACTGGCACACGAGGACGGTGGCACTTCATGCGGGGACCTCTGAGCAGCATGCTGAAAGACAGGACCGGCGGCTTGGAGAGAATCCCGTTTTTACAGAGGCTGCATCTCCAGGTGCAGGCTTTTTGACGCAGCTCGCCCCGCTTGGGCACGAAGGCACGGACCTCGCCACCTTTCCCCACCACTGGCTTGAAGGCAGATCGCTTGACCTTTGGCTGTGGGCTGTATCTTCCTCTCTTGGCCTCCCGGACCTCGAACCACAGGCGCCCATCGAACTTCCTCTTCAGCTCGACATCTTTGGGATTGGCGGGCCCCCCACTGCTCTCCGGAGGCTCTTTGCGGACTTTCACCGGGCAGCCAAGGGCAGCCAAGGGCCTGTGTTTCCAGTAGCCCTCCGAGGCCGGGGAGAACTCGGGTCCCGGGATGATCTGGAATGGCAGCTTGTTGTCGTAGCGTCTCCAGTCCTCCGGCCCTAGCTCCTCCGGCAACTTGACCTTGTCCCAGCCCGGGGGCACAAGGCAGGGCGGTTGGGCTCGCAGCGAGAGCTTGGGCAAGACATCCTGGGTACTTCCGAGGGTCAGGATGGGCCAGGACCTCGGAAGCCAGTAGTCATTGGCAGACTTAGGTGGGCCCAGGTAGTTGCCCAAGTGGCTGAGCAAATACTTGCTCAGGTAGTTGCCCATGAGAGCAGTGCAGTGGCTCCAGAAAAGCCTGGTCTTTCAGAAGTTCCCGATGTCTCTCTGCCTAACGGCCAGCTGAGTTACGGTGACCGTTGGCATAGCGGAAGCTCAAGGACAGCGCGCGGGGCTCTGGAACTTTGGGAAAACTCTGGTTGCGTGGTCTGGCGCGAGCCACGACAGCGCGCGGTGAGCTCCGGGATAGGACCGCGGGGACAGGACCGCGGGCAATAGCAGCCTGGCAGCGCCCTCTACATCCTTGCAATCTGAGGGACACAGAAAACTGAAGTCTGTCCTTCCCATTGCGGCTTGCAGGCTTTCCGTCTGGCCAGAGGAGCTTAATAGTTGGCCGTCATTTTTGTACTGCATTTAAAGGAAGAAATGATAACCATTTCTACCAGGAAATTCTAGATAGTGTTCCAATTTGTCATGTAATAGTGAACAGATATCACTTGAATGGTCACTTAGGAACAGATTGCTGGATTACTGTTACTATTTTAATAGCAGTGATGCATGTTTCTTTCTTCTAGAAAGACTGTGCTTGTCTCTCCACCCCACCCCCCCCCCCCCCCTTTTTTTTTTCTCTTCAATTTAGCTCTCAGGGACATAATATAAGCCATCAATGATTTATAATTTAGCACTGGCAATGTTGATCTTGCTAGACACCCTGGTGGTGTAGTGGGTTAAGCATTGGCCATTAAGCACATGATCAGAGGGAGAAAGATGAAGCAGTTTGTTTCCCTAAAGACACTCTTAGAGACCCTGTGGAGCAATTCTATTCTGCCCTGTAAGGTTGCTAAGAGGCAGAACCAACTCCACAGCAGTGAGTTCATGCTGATCCTATGTAGATTTTCTTGTAATTGTCAGCCTTCATGCATTCATATGTAGATGGTCTTCTCTTTGAACATAAATGCAATTTCTCTATTTCTTTTTGAACCAGTCAACAGAGATTGAGTAAATCACATTTCCAGCTTACAGCTGAAAAGCATCTGCCTACAAACCAAGTGTTCAAAGGCTCCTGGGTAATTGATTAAAGCACTCAGTTTCAGAGGTCTGTTTAAGGAGATGTGAAGCCAACCGTTTTTGAGAAACTTTTCCTCAAATGGTGTGTACAAGGCATCTCTTAGGTCTGACACCCTGTTGGGATGGGTGAAGGACAGAAAGTATTGACTCCAAGAGCAGGTCATAGATTCTGCTGGGAGCTGGAGGTACATGGCTGAACAGTGAGGAGAAGGAATGAATGAATTCAAGAGCTTCATGAGGAAGCATCTGAGGGCAGAGTGAGCCAGAGTGCTATCGGTACTATCATCACATCAGGTGGTGAGTTAGGGTCTCAAGACCTAATTCCATTTGGTTATTTACTCATTCATTCATTAATTCACAGCATATTCCTCATTTAAGGAACGATATGAGTTTGAAATCAAGGAGGATTTTCTCTGACACCATTTTCTTCTATAAGACATTTTTTCATAATGATAGAAATGACTTCTTATATGTAGCTAAGACCCTGCTTAAGATGACATGAACATCAGGGAGGATGGCCAAATACCACTGGGTATGATTTTCTAATCATGTCATTTTTTTTTGTTTTGTTTTCCTTTTCACTATTTGCAGCATTTCCCATGTCTTACTTTGCAACGTAACTAAGCGGGTGTCGTTCTGGTTTGTGGTTACAGACCCTTTGAAAAACCACACTCTTCCTGCTGCTGAAGTACAGTCAGCCATAAGGTAAGCACTGCTAAGTACATTTTCTACGAGACATTAAGTTGTTGATGAATCCAACTGCCCTCATCCATTGTGAATTCTGTTTCTTTCCCTCTTCTCACGTGACTCAAGGATTTCATTTCATTAGTTGAGAGTAGGGATTAGTGGAGGGAGAATTTGGTAATGTCTGAAGATACTCTTGGTTGTTTCACTGGGGGTGCCACCAGCATTGAAGAAGTAGAAGAATGTTGCCAAACATCCTACTATGCACAGGACAGTCCCCACACCAAATATTTTTTTTTTCTGCACCAAATGTCAATGGTGCTGTGATTGAGAAACCCTAACTGAAATATCAGCTAAGAATGTTTAGTCCTGTCTTCTTCAGGCAAGAACACGTCATATAGCACAATCGCATGACAGTTCATCACATGGACTAGAGCCAGGATGCAGGCTTTGCCCCTTGCTAACTATAATCATGCAGCTAAGTTGCTGACGCTTCTTGGCCTTTTGTCTCACCATCTGTGAAATGGAGTTAATTACAGTACCACTCACAAAATTATCGGGAAGGTGAAATGAACTAATAAATGTAAGGAATTTTGAGTCATACCATCATAATTCTTAGATTGCTAAGGATTTGCCTTTTTTAGTCCATGTATAGTCTTTACAGCTTAACATTAACAGACACACATTTTTTTTTAAAGGTAAAATCATGACCTTGATTCAATGAAAAATTGACATGTATCTCAATAATTCTTGAGGGACCTGGTAAGATGTTAAAAATGTTTCAAAGAACCATCACTATCCCCAGTTGGAGCCAGCCACCATGGAGAGCTAAATCCTTGACCTTCACCACAAACACTCACCTACCTCTTTGCATTAACTGAAACTTGATTTACTCATCCCTTCTGAAACCCCTAAAACCCAAACTATTGTCTGGGAGTGGATTCCAACTTGAGGAATGTCGTACAGAGTAGAAGTCTCCAGAGGATTTTCTTGGTTGTAATCTTTACAGAAGCAGAGTGCCAGTCCTTTCTTCCCATGGGTGGGTTAGTAGTGGTTGTTGTTGGTTGTGTGCTGTGGAGTCGGTTCCGACTCATAGCGACCCCACATAGTGTTTCTGAGGCTGTAAACCTTTAAGGGAGCAGAAATCCTCATCATCCTCCCATAGAATGACTGGTAGTTTCGAACTGCTGACCTTGAGGTTAGCAGACTGACTCGTAACCACTATACTATCAGAGTAGTTAGGTACAACGTATCAATGCAATCCCCTCTGTACACAGGATAGATAGGAACGGGCAACCTAGCCATTGGCTACCTAAAATGAGGGGGCGATAAAGGCACGAAGTGAGTGGCTTACAAGGTTTCTAGGGGGAGTTTAGTTTAACAGTGTGTGGGGGAATATACAGTCCCCACTAAATAGTTTTCATCTTGTCTAGATGGGTGTGGTTAAAAGAGATGGGGATAAGATTCTTATGATTCAGTAATGAGTGATTGTTAAATCATGACAAATTGCGACTGTCACAACTGTAAAGGTAGAAGTTTTGTAACAAAAACTGGGGGAGTAGTTAATCTTACAGTCCAGAAACAAAGGACCCTAGGATCAAAGGAGAAGAGCACGAGTGAAATGTGAGACCTTATCCAGAGAAGCAGCCACACCAGAGATGGAGGCAGAGATGGAGACATGGAGAGAAGGAGCAGCTGAGGACTCTAGATTCATGGGAAGAGAGGGACTGAGAGCTGGCAGCCAGGAGGCAGACTTGCAGAATGTGCCCTTTGGTGGTGTAAATTATTATATATGCAAGAGTGTTTAAAAAAAAAAAAAAAAAAAAAAAGAGCTAAAGTGAATCAAGAGAAATACTGTTAACCGATGGTAAATGGAGGGGATTATAATCCTTGTAATGAAACAAGGTGTATGATTTGCTGAATGTAAAACTGATGATCTGCCCTGTAAACTTTCACTCAATTCACAATAAAAACTTAAAAAAAAAAAAAAAGTGCCAAGCAACACATACACACAAAGAAGACAGAGTAGTTAGGTACAAATTGCTTTTGCCACCCAGGGACCTCTGGTTTCCCCTCAGTGCCTTCACTTCCATGCTGCCCTCTCCACTCACAAGGCTTGACCTAAATCTCTTTTCACATGATATTCCTAACTCTTACTCCCTAAATGGTGACTCTCATTCCACATGTGAGAAGTATGAAGTGGTGAAATGCATTTACAAATAGATGCCCCAGTCTGTCCACTGGGTAACAGTTGATTGTGTTTTACCAAGTGCAATTAATTTGATTCACCATGGAAAGAATCATTTACATTATATCAATTTTCTACAACTTAAAAATTTGCAAAATAGCTGAATGACAATAAAAGGTGACAGTTGAGCAGATGGGTGCACTACGCAGAAGAGTCAGTTATCTCTTTTACCCATTTCAAGTTGTTCACAATTTTCCTGATAGTCATTCCCGCTCCCATGAGCATAACAAACTTAAAAAACATGAAGTAAATTCTTATTTCTAAGAAGCAAAAGGAAGCAATTTATGTTTATTTCAATGCATGCACACTTCACGCACACCAGAACTTCAAAAACTTCATGCAAGTGATCGATGCTGACCAAAGGTTGGACACTGAAAAAGGGACTGGAGAATAATTGATATTTGAATGATGGCATTGGCAAAGAAAAATATACCATCAACTGCTAGAAGAATGAACAAATCTGTCTTAGAAGATATACAACCAGAACGTTCCTTAAAGAGAGGATGATGAGACTTTGTCTCTTCTACTTTGAACATGTTCTCAGGAGGGACAAAGCCTCAGAAAAGGATATCATGCTTGGCAAAGTAGAAGGTGAGGGAAAAGAAACAGACCCTCAACAAGTAGCTACAACAATGGATTCAAGCATACCTCCTATTGTAAGGAGGGCATAAGACTGGTCAGCATTTTGTTCTGTTATAGATGAGGCTGCTGTGAATCAGAGCCCACTCAGTGGTACCTAACACCAACAACAGCAGCAGCAGCAGCAGCAGCAACAACAACAACAACAACAACAAGGGTCTATTAGAAGAGTGAATTCAGGAAATAAACAATTTCCTGAAAAAGAAAAATGAAATTAAGAAACTGTCCCTACCAAAGATTTATAAGTTATTGAAATGCATATTTTTCTCTTTACAGGGGAAAAATGACACCTAATGAAAGAACCCTTTTGCTTTTTGTAGAATATTAACACTTAAGATAATGAGTATTTAATCAAAAGCCAAAGATTTTCTGAACAATCATCTATTTCCCTTGCTGAAGCAAAGGCACAAAGGAATATTTGAATGAAATAGTTTATGTACTTTTGTGCATAACTGAATACTGAATACTGGTAAGACTTAAGAGTCAGAGTTAGGAATATTGTATTTCATGTGAAAAGAGATTTTTATTCAAGTCTTGTGAATGGGAAGGCTACAAGAAAATGAAGGCACTGGGTTGAAACCAGGCTTCAGCTAATGTGAGGAGGTAGATAAGTATTTGGGATGAAGGTCGAGGATGTAGCTGAACTTAAACAGGAGATTCCAGTTATGGATGGTGAATTAGTCTGTACCTGAGCTAGAACTTCCAATAGTCTAGCAGACTATGGAGTTTATTCCCAGTCTGGAGTGAGAAAGTTTCAAAGGCTTATTTTTTTTCTGAGTTATACCTTAGCAATGAACTTCATTATTTTAGGAAAGATTATCCCAGATTATCAACAATCAGTTATGAAAATGCAAATTCATCACATAATTAGAGAAAAATGACTTTAAATGATCCCCTGTGGTGGATTATCTGACTGGGGTTCCACTTCAAATCCATGAATGATCACGCCTCATTATAAATTTTCACATTCTGATATAGTGGTGGCTCTGTAGGATAAGCACTGGACTGTGAACCACAAGATCAATGGAAATGCCTCAGAAGGTTTTCAGAAAAATGATTATAAAATGTTTCAAAACACTTTACAGTGGAGTTGAGAAAAATAAGGAAGAAGTCAGGAAAGCACTCCAGGAACACTGAAATAAGATAGATACAGCATTGGAAACAATTCAAAACCTACAGAAAGAGGTCCAAA